CTCCTCTAAGTGTATCTGCAGAATGTCATTTATGAAAAAAAATAAGATACAATGTTTCTCAACCGCTGTATGGAGTGAATTCCCAGAACTGTAGAAATTAGTGCTACTTTCCTGACAGTTCTGGGACACTCACTCCATACAGCGGTTTGAAACATTGTATCTATTTGTTTCCAATAAATGGTTCCATTTATGGAAACAAATAGATAAATGTTTCAACCGCTGTATGGAGTGAGTGTCCCAGAACTGTCAGAAATAGACTATTTCTGACAGTTCTGGGACATTCACTCCATACAGCGTTTTCAACCGCTGTATGGAGGAATGTCCCAGAACTGTCAGAAATAGACTATTTCTGACAGTTCTGGGACATTCACTCCATACAGCGGTTTCAACCGCTGTATGGAGGGAATGTCCTAGAACTGTCAGAAATAGTCTATTTCTGACAGTTCTCGGGACATTCATTCCATACAGCGGTTGAAACATTGTATCTATTTTTTTTCCATAAATGACATTCTGCAAATACACTTAGAGGAGCTCTGCAGATACACTTTTTGCCGGCTTGGAATTAATCTTATTTTCATCCTACTTCTTCTTCTTCATCCTCATAAGAAAGAAGAAGAGGATGAGGAAGAAGAAGAAGTAGGATGAAAATAAGAATAATTCCAAGCCGGCAAAAAGTGTATCTGCAGAGCTCCTCTAAGTGTATCTTTCAGAATAGAGGAGCTCTGCAGATACACTTTTGCCGGCTTGGAATTATTCTTATTTTCATCCTACTTCTTCTTCATCCTCATCCTCTTCTTATGAGGATGAAGGATGAAGAAGTAGGATGCAAAATAAGATTAATTCCAAGCCGGCAAAAAGTGTATCTGCAGAGCTCCTCTAAGTGTATCTTCAGAATAGAGGAGCTCTGCAGATACACTTTTTGCCGGCTTGGAATTATTCTTATTTTCATCCTACTTCTTCTTCTTCATTCCTCATCCTCTTCTGAGAGGAAGATGAATGAAGAAGAAGAAGTAGGATGAAAATAAGTATAATTCCATGCCGGCAAAAAGTGTATCTGCAGAGCTCCTCTAAAGTGTATCTGCAGAATAGAGGAGCTCTGCAGATACACTTTTTGCCGGCTTTGAATTATTCTTATTTTCCTCCTACTTTCTTCTTCATCCTCATCCTCTTCTGAGGAGGATGAAGAGGAAGAAGATGAAGAAAGTAGGATGAAAATAAGATTAATTCCAAGCCGGCAAAAAGTGTATCTGCAGAGCTCCTCTATTCTGCAGATACACTTAGAGGAGCTCTGCAGATACACTTTTTGCCGGCTTGAATTATTCTTATTTTCATCCTACTTCTTCTTCTTCATCCTCATCCTCAGAAGAAGAAGAGGATGAGGATGAAGAAGAAGTAGGATGAAAATAAGAATAATTTCCAAGCCGCAAAAAGTGTATGTGCAGAGTTCCTCTATTTCTGACAGTTCTCTGACAGCTTCTTCACATGTACTGGAAACTAATAGATACAATTTGTATCTATTAGTTTCCATTTAGGATACAGATGTTTCAACCGCTGTACATGTGAAGAAGCTGTCAGAGAACTGTCAGAAATAAGAGGAACTCTGCACATACACTTTTTGCCGGCTTGGTATTATTCTTATTTTCATCTCTACTTCTTCTTCATCCTCATCCTCTCTACACTTTTGCCGGCTGATCGGGAAAAAATTCGATTCGCGCACCCGAAGTAGGCAAATATTCGGATTCGCCGCGAATCGAATTTTTCCTGAAATTCGTATCGAATTCCGGTTCGCCTGGTTCGATTCGCTCATCTCTATTTAGGATCATTATCCATTTGTAGAAGCCATCCTCTCTTTAACTTCAGCTTTTTCACAGATGGCATCAAGTTACCATCCAAAATTTGCTGAATTTTTATTGAATCCATTTTTCCTTCTACTCGTGAGATGTTCCCTGTGCCACTGGCTGCAACACAACCCCAAAGCATGATTGATCCAACCCCATGCTTAACAGTTGGACAGAGGTTCTTTTCATTAAATTCTGTGCCCCTTCTTCTCCAAACGTACCTTTGCTCATTCCGGCCAAAAAGTTCAATTTTAACCTCATCGGTCCACAGAACTTGTGTGGAATAGTGTACCACAACTCCAGTGTCTCCCAGATCTTTCTGGAGGGATCGTGTAGTCAAACATGGGTTTTGAATTGTTTTTCTCACAATCCTGCGAGCTGTTCAGTTTTGATATTTTTCTTGGTCTTCCAGATCTTGCTTTAACTTCCACTGTTCCTGATGACTGCCACTTCTTAATTACATTCTGAACAGAGGATATTGACATCTGAAAACGCTTTGCTATCTTCTTATAGCCTTCTCCAGCTTTGTGAGCGTCAACTATTTTCAGTTTCTGTTTTCTAGACAACTGCTTAGAAGAACCCATGGTGCTGATTGTTGGGGCAAGGTCAGATGAGTCTGGGCATTTAAAACCTTTGAGATTGACATCACCTGGTCTTCCCAGACGATGATTGAGAACAATCCATGACACTGGCAGGTCTCAGCTTGGCAAAGGGGGCAGTGCATGCTATAAATTCTGCAGGTGCCCATTTTTTTGCAGACGCCATTTTTTTGCTTTCTGTTCTTTTGAAAGTGTAAATGATGGAAATAAAATCTAACTGTTGTTGACATATTATAAGAATGTCTAATCTGTAATGTAATGCCTTTTGGAGATTTTTCCATCTTTCCTTGGCTTCTTTATGCACATTAATACAAATTTTCGATCCCCACTGTGTATATATATATATATATATATATATATATATATATATATATATATCTTTGTTACATCTTCTCTGTAAATATTTTTATTGCACCTGTTTGACCCTTTTAGTAATAAATCTTTCTTTCTGAAAGTGTTCAACTGTTTTTTATAGCTCTTAATTGCAATTTACGAATCCCTGCCTTTAAAGAGACGCTACTGTTGGTTTAACTCTGTATAACCATCCTGTGTCAATGACCGGTTACGCGGACGATTATTTCAATTATTGTAGTGTTATAGTGATATTGCGAGTTTCCTCTTTCTCTGAACAAAAAGGAGGTGGTGGCAGTGTGAAGGGGTTAATTGCGTAATTAATCTGACCCAGTAACAATTGATTCAGGCTGTTGGCACATCGATCGGTACCCATTAGCTGGAAAATCGTTGTGCAGGGTGCAGCTGGGTGTGGCATTGTTACGCACGTCACATCGCGGTTTTAGATTGGCTAGCCCTTCGGTCACGAGTTTGGTGAGAAGGTCTGGGGTCTGATGCTGCGATCGTGACACTACTGAGTAATGTTTAAATGTCATAAACTTTAAAATTTAGTGAATCTATGTGGAGTTGGCTTCACTAAAACTTGAACCCCTTTTGAATGGTAAACAAAGAATTGGTTTTCCTAAAGGAAGCTGTAGCAGTAAGGTAAACTCTGACACAGGGGCGGACTGACAACTCATGGGGCCCCCGAGCAATAGGGGATCATGGGGCCCCTGTGTCCTTGCCCAAACTCAAAAAAGCCTATGAAAAAGGTACCAGTGGCATCTCATGGGGCCCCCTACTGACCCTGGGCCCTTGGGCAGTGCTCGAGTTTCCAAATGGTCAGTCCGCCCCTGTGACAGCTCACACTACATGAAACAAATTTGCTTTGGATGAAGGAGCACAGAACAAAGGAAAGTAAGAACAATGTCATCACTAAGGTGGAAGAACATGACCTTAGGCAAAAAGGATGTCTCAAAACTACAGTATCCTTATGAAGAAAATGGAAGACAAGGCTCCCAGCTCCAGAAGCCTTCTGAATGAAGAGATGGCAAAGCTGAAGACCACTTTTTAATTAATGGAAGCAAGAGAATCTCATTGATAGGTTGGAAAAGTGGTTTCTGGAGAACAAAAAGGACAAAGTAAAATTGCTAAATTTAAGGAGACTGCCTAAAGAGGCAGCAACACAAGTAACCCCTTCAACACAAGTATGTACCAAGAAGCAGTAGGCTGCAAAAGAATGGCTGTGGCTACATATGCACTCAACTGACCAAAGAGGTACAGGATGTGAACCCCATAGACTCACCTTCCTAAAAATAAGTCTTCTAGATGCAGAGGAAAATCCCACAGGAGGATGGTTTATGGACCCAAACCTTCAATGGAGAAGAGTATTACATATCAGAGAATACTGCGTCCAATAACATGGGCAACTTATCCTGATCCAGAGGCAACTCTGCCTGGTCAAGACGCTGATGAACATTGTCCACTTCTGAGAAGCAGGCAATTATTGGGAGTCAGAACCTGACCTTCCACCCAATGATGAATGTGCATAATCTACAAATGCATCATTTTAGGATATATTTTATGTAGAAGTCTTTTTCCAAAGAGTATGTGCTGCATTGTGGACATTCCAGTGCTAGATAAGGCATTTTTTAGGACAGCTGAAATCCCAGATCTGCATTTGGTTTGAGTGGTTTTATTAAAAATGATATATATTGCCAATGTCTGTTTGGAAGGAAGGTACATATAAATTTCACAGCAAAAATCAAATCAGTGACACTAGAGGCACAATAGTGACAATAAAATCACAGGTACTCACAGGTAAGAAATGTGTGCTGTAAAGAAGTAGTATAGAATGGCATATATAACACAGACCTCAGCAGACATACTGGACATGGTTCATAATCAGAGGCAATGTCCAATAAAAGTTAAAATGTAAACATATAGGAATTGTAGCGTATACTGTACGTGATGTCAGATGTACAGAAATCATGGAAGGTCAGTTTTCATTGTTGATTAGTAACTGCTCCATCTATTGAGAGCTCTTTTAAATTACTTTCCCCGTATACACAATTATAAGCACATTATAAGGAAATTCGTAGCTCAATAGTTAGTGAAACGGATTGAAAAACTGAACAATTTCTTAAAAAAATAAAGTACATTTAGTTTATTACTGTCTGAATTCATTTAGTCAATAAATTAATATAATATAAAAATATGTCCAGCAATACATTTATTCAATTGTCTGAACATTTTCATTTTCTGTAATAAGCGACGGGAGGTCTGCAGGTAGACGAAGAAGTTCTTCCACTTCCTCTTGGAGAGCTTCAGCTTTCTCATTCAATAACATCTTAAGAAGGAAGCAAAGGCAGGATTATTACACATTAAATTAGCACCAAGAATTAACTGCCTGGAATAATACTTAAAGTGGAGGTCCATGCTAAATCTAACTAATATTAAATCTGCTTCCACCCCTATGCCAACTCCTATTCTAACCATCCTGTAGAGCAGGGGCATCAAACTGGCGGCCCTCCAGCTGTTGTGAAATTACAAGTACCATCATGCCTCTACCTTTGAAAGTCATGCTTGTAACTGTCACTCTCGCAATGCCTCATGGGACTTGTAGTTTGGCAACAGCTGGAGGGCCACCAGTTTGACACTCGTGCTGTAGAAGAAAGATGTGTATACTTACCTATTCTCTGGGCAATTGGGTCTAGTCACGTGATCGGCTACTAAAGAATGGACAGCGGGAAATGGATACCCCATAGTAAGTCTATAGGCGGCGTCACCACCCAGGTATTGCAGCAATTGTCTCTGCTCTCCCCTGAAGCCAACCACTGAGGAGATCAAGTGACCAGCTCCAGAGCGTCCTGAGAATATGTAAGAATATGCATTTTCCTTTTAAAGGTTAGTTATTATAAGAGTTAGAAGAGGAGTGGGAGCATTATATAGGTTTAGCTCAAACGTCCACTTTAACAGATACTATACAGTCACTATATATATATATATATATATATATATATATATATATATATATATATACACAGTTGTGTTCAAAATAATAGCAGTCAGACATCACTAACCTGATCAATCACTGTTTTTGGTAGAAATGATATTTCTACATGGCAAATAATTTACTAGCAGGTGTAGCAGAGTAATAGAAATACAACAGACCCAACAGTAATGACATGCATGCTGCTGATTCTGTGTAATTGAATCACTAATTGAAAGGGGCATGTTCAAAATAATAGCAGTGTGGAGTTCTGTTAGTGAGGTCAGTCATTCTTTGAAAAACAGGTGGCAATTATTGCCCTTATTTAAGGAAGGAAGGCAGCAAATGTTGTACTTGCTGGTTACAGTGCATTTCTCTCTGAAATTCTGAGGAAAATGGGTCGTTCCAGACACTGTTCAGAAGAACAGTGTATCTTGATTAAACAGTTGATTGGAGAGGGGAAAACATATAAAGAAGTGCAGCAAATGATAGGCTGCTCAGCTAAAATGATCGCAAATGCTTTAAAATGGCAACCAAAACCTGAAAGACGTGCAAGAAAGCAAAAAACTACCATTCGAATGGATAGAAGAATAGCCAAAATGGTAAGGACTCAGCCAACAATCAGCTCCAGGAAGATCAAAGAAGGTCTAAAGTTACCTGTGAGTACTGTTACAATTAGAAGACGCCTATGTGAAGCCAAGCTATCTGCAAGAAGCCCCCGCAAAGTCCCACTGTTGAAAAAAAGAGAAGAGGTCTGAAGAGGTTACAATTTGCCAAAGAGCACATTGACTGGCCTAAAGAGAAATGGCACAACATTTTGTGGACTGATGAAAGTAAGATTGTTCTTTTTGGGTCTAGTGGCCGGAGACAGTTTGTCAGACGACCCCCAAACACTGAATTCAAGCCACAGTACACTGTGAAGACAGTGAAGCATGGTTGCGCAAGCATCATGATATGGGGATGTTTCTCATACTACGGTGTTGGGCCTATTTATGGCATACCATGGATCATGGATCAGTTTGAATACATCAGAATACTTGAAGAGGTCATGCTGCCTTATGCTGAAGAGGAAATGCCCTTGAAATGGGTGTTCCAACAAGACAAAGACCCTAAACACACCAGTAAACGTGGAATATCTTGGTTCCAGACCAACAAGATTGACGTTATGAAGTGGCCAGCCCAATCCCCGGATCTTAATCCAATAGAAAACTTGTGGGGTGACATCAAAAATGCAGTTTCTAAGGCAAAACCAAGAAATAGAGAAGAACTGTGGAATGTAGTCCGATCATCCTGGGCTGGAATACCTGTTCACAGGTGCCAGAAGTTGGTTGACTCCATGCAACACAGATGTACAGCAGTTCTCAGAAACAGTGCTTATACAACTAAATATTCATTAAGTGATTCAAAGGAAAGCAAAATCTTCAAACATTTTTCAGTTTATATAGTGAATGTTTGAGTTTGTAAAGAAGAATACAAACACTGCTATTTTTTTGAACAGTCTAATATTCACTTTTCTTAAATTTTTTTTAGAGGAACAACACCAATTTGATATATTTTTCTTCATGTTTTGATTTGGAATAGAATGTGTAGTGTTCCCAATGCATTTGTGTGTATGGAAATAAAAGCTATTAGAAGGATTTTGAGCTTTATTCACTTTTTTCAACACACTGCTCTTATTTTGAACACAACTGTAATATATATATATATATATATATATATATATATATATATACAGTTGCAAGAAAAAGTATGTGAACCCCTTGGGATTACGTGGAGTTTTGCATGAATTGGGCATAAAATGTGCTCTGAATGTCATCTAAGTCACAACAATAGAAGAACACAGTCTGCTGAACATAATACTACACAAACATTAGATGTTGCCATGGTTTAATTGCACATAACATGTAAACATTCACAGTGCAGGGAGGAAAAAGTATGTGAGGCCCTAGCTTAATGACTTCTCCCAGAGCTAATTGGAGCCAGGAGTGAGCCAACCTTGACTCCAATCAGTGTGATGATATTGGATGTGGTGCTGACAGCTGTCCTGCCCTTAAAAAACACACACCTGTTTTAGGTTTACTGGTTTCAAGAAGCACTGTCTGATGTGAACCATGCCTTGCAGAAAAGAGATCTCAGAAGACCTACAATCAAGAATTGTTGACTTGCATGAAGCTGGAAAGGGTTACAAAAGTATCTCCAAAAGCCTTGATGTTCATGTGTCCACGGTAAGACAGACTGTCTACAAATGGAGAAAGTTTAGCACTGTTGCTACTCTTCCTCGACGTGGTCGTCCTATAAAAATGACTGCAAGAGCACAGCGCAGAATGCTGCATGAGGTAAAGAAGAATCCCAGAATGTCAGCTAAAGACTTACAGAAATCTCTGGCACATGCTAACATTTTTGTTGACACATCTACAATAAGGAAAACATTAAACAAGAATGGAGTACATGGGAGGACACCACGGAGGAAGCCATTGCTGTCCAATAAGAATATTGCAGCACGTTTGAAGTTTGCAAAAGAGCACCTGGATGTTCCACAGCACTACTGGCAAAATATACTGTGGACAGATGAAACCAAGATTGAGTTGTTTGGGAAGAACACACAACACTATGTGTGGAGAAAAAAAGGCACAGCACACCAACATCAAAACCTCATCCCCACTGTGAAACATGGCGGAGGGAGCATCATGGTTTGGGGCTGCTTTGCTGCCTCAGGGCCTGGACGGATTGTTGTCATTGATGGGAAAATGAATTCCAGAGTTTATTAAGACATTTTGCAGGAAAACGTACGACCATCTGTCTGCCAACTGAAGCTCCGCAGAGGATGGGTGATGCAACAGGACAATGACCCAAAGCATACAAGTAATTCAACAAAACAATGGCTGCAACAGCACAGAATACACCTTCTGGAGTGTCCCATTCAGAGTCCTGACCTCAACCCAATTGAAATGCTGTGGCATGACCTTAAGAGAGCGATTCACACCAGACATCCCAAGAATATTGCTACACTGAAACAGTTTTGTGAAGAGGAGTGGTCCAAAATTACTCCAGATCGTTCTGCAGGTCTGATCTGCAACTACAGGAAAATTTTGGTTGAGGTTATTGCTGCCAAAGGAGGGTCAACCAGTTATTAAGTCCAAAGGTTCACATACTTTTTCCTCCCTGCACTGTGAATGTTTACATGTTATGTGCAATTAAACCATGGCAACATCTAATGTTTGTGTAGTATTATGTTCAGCAGACTGTGTTCTTCTATTGTTGTGACTTAGATGACGTTCAGAGCACATTTTATGCCCAATTCATGCAAAACTCCACATAATCCCAAGGGGTTCACATACTTTTTCTTGCAACTGTATATATATATAAATGATGCACACACACAGCAATAGCAGTGTTACCTTTGGCACTTTTAGGCTCACCTTAGATCTCTGAACAGTGTTATGTATACTTGAATTCCAGGTTGCTTTATTTAAAAATACCAGTTAATCTTGCTACCCTATTTATTGTTTGTGATTTATTAATGTGTTGGCTGTATTTATTTGTTGTTAAAATAATGCTGTTTATATTATTCACCTTCCAAAGTGCTCATGCTGCCGAACACTGCTGCACGCACAAGCTCTTGCGCACCCACCCCCCTCCCACCAAAGTCCACTGGGAAACCAATACTTTTTGTAGTGTCAATCTAGGGTTAAAAACAGTGTTGATGAATTACTCTTTGTGAAAGGGTAACTTTAAGAAATATATAAACACATTTTTTTAAACACAATTAGTTTATTAGTCTGGTTTGTTTACAGACTCCTCTAATGCTCTTTACAGGAGGGGCAGGGCAGGGATTCAATCAGGTATGCTGCATGCTCAATAATGATAATGAAATGTTGACAGGAGGAGAGAGCAGAGTAAGCAGAGGGATGAGCTGAATGAACAGTGAAAAAAGCATCAGAAGACCAATGTATAGGTGAACTGCAGTAGAGCAAGAATAAAGGTCAGTAACCTGTCTCGCCTGTATAGTAGTACTTTGTAACTCTCAGGTCTTGGACAATGGACAGAAATAATTCACTGGCAGGTAAAATAGCTCCCTTAGATGTATTACAACAGTGTATTAGCTGTTTACCTGGAAATCAGCTTTAACCATTTTGTAGCCAGGACTGTACAGCGTATGAATCTACAGCACTGCTTCCAGCTGGATAGGACCGTAACCCCATATAGATCTGACATTTCCCCATTCTGCTATTTGCTCTTGGTCAGTGACCATGATCCTATAGCAGAACCTATCTGCTGAACAAAACATTAGCTCTGAGCAGCAAATGACAATCTGCTAATCAGAGCTATTCCCCCAAAGGTGCCCCCCCCAGTATAGTGACTATTCTCCCCACGTTTCTCTTTGTTTAAGAGCACTAATAATGATTTCTAGTGTATGAATAGCGATTAAATAAACATTTGCATAACTATTGCAGGGCCTAAAAAATCAGTGGCATCTTTTTTTTTTTTTGTTATTCTATAGGTCATGTGCTTTCAGAGAATGTGTGGTTTGGGGGGTCTTTTACAAACAATGAAAACTGTAAGGGAAAAATGATAACCTCAGATTTTTAGAGTAAATTGTGTTTATTTACAGGTGTCTACATTTCATAAAAAAGGCACAATTTTTTAATTTACAAATATTTGTTATGTACTAACTCAGTTTTAACTTTTATATTTAATATGAATTTAGCAGAAATGTTTTAAGTTTTGCTGTGTTTGCGTCTGTGAATATGGATTTGCGTGTATTTTTAGCAAAGATTTTGTTTTGATAAACATTTGCACAAATATCATGAGGCCTAAAAAAAAATCAGTAGCACCTTCTTTTTATTCTACTGGTCCTTTGGTTTCATAAAATGTATGGTTTGGGGGGGGGGGGGGGGTTTCTTTCATAAACTGTAAGCTGTAAGGGAAAAAAATAAAAAAGCAATGGAAAAGTTGCAAAAATGGTCAAGCCACCTAAGTATAAAAGTGGAGCGTAAGGACTGGCAGTGAAAGGGTTAAAGTACACCTGTCATGAAAAAACATGTAGGCTGCTATTGAGATGAGGAATTCTGACACCCATTTAGGCCCCTTTCACAGGAGCGAACTGATCGGGTCCGCCTCGTTTTTCAAGTGGACCTGGTCGCATGCTCCATTGCTCTATATTGAGTGGCAGGTGTAAATGGACACCATTCTGCATCCAATCCTGTCTGCTAAAAACAGATGGACAGAGATCCATTCCTCATCTTTCTGGTGGATCGGATGACAGCCAAATGGAAACCGATCTGACAGCCCATAGAGGACAGCGGGCTATGTCAGTGTCCACTCTGCATAAGCGGAGTGGACACGGACCTGTCGTCCGCTTGCTCAGCGGCAATCAGTGTGCAGACCCCCCACTGACAAGCAGATCCACTGACGAGTCTGCCCTGTGTGAAAGGGACCTTACACCATGAGGGCAGCACAGTGGCTAAATGGTTAGCACTTCCGCCTGGCAGTACTGGGGTCATTGGTTCAAATCCCAACCACGGCACCTCCTGCCTGGAGTTTGCATGTTCTCCCTGTGCTTGCGTGGGTTTCCTTCGGGTACTCCGGTTTCCTCCCACACTCAAAAGACATGCTGGTAGGTTAATTAGATCCTGTCTAAATTGGCCCTAGTATGTGTATATATGAATGTGAGTTAGGGACCTTAAATTGTACGCCCCTTGAGGGTTAGGGACTGATGTGAATGTACAACATATATGTAAAGCGTTGCATAAATTGACGTCGCTATATAAGTACCTGAAATAAATAAATAAATGTATGTTTCAATTCTGTGATTCAGACCCAGCCAGACATATAACCTGTTAAAATCCTCCATCGCCATGTATGAGATCACAGACTGTCTATCAGCAGTATACTGTCTAATATAAATAGGCTATGAGATTCAGCCTTATTCATTAAATCTTTACATGCAAAATAGCTGAAACGCAAAATGCATTTACCCAAAGCATTCTTCATTTTCATGTACTGAAGTCAGATAACTGAACATAAGAATTTTAATTGATCCAAATCACTGCTCCTTGTGTCTTATGCATCCACATTATTCATGTATTCAATGCAAAACTCAAAATAAATTCTGACTTATGAATACTCTTATCTACGATAAGATATATTCTTAACATTTAAATATGTATCGCATTCATGCATAAGGACACATGACACTTCTCACCTTTGCTGAGCTAATAATCTGGTTTGCCTGGCGTTTTGACAAATGTTCAATGCTTTTAACCATCAGTTGTGGATCAGCATTAGCCAAATGTGCAAGAGTGGTATAACCTGCATTGTAAAGTTGTTTGGCCCGGGCCTATTGAACAAAAAACATGGCACATTATTACTTTGTAAAACTTAACATTACATGCTGGAGAAACCATTTTTCAGTTTTCTACCACCTTAATAAAAAATACATATTCCTAATACTTCAAAAGTAGACATTATTATACAACAAACCAATATGATATAGTATACACAGTTCAAAGTACACTTGTCTTCACGGCATACTTTGCAAAATGTGAGCATAAATGAAATAGATGCATGAATGTACAAGCTCTGCACGTTGACCTGTGGCCCACCCCTCTTGCACATTGCTGCTGGTCCCCTGGTATGATGCATGACCTTACCCTTAAAAGGTTCAGGGGGCAGAAGGCGTTTTAGTATAGCTTGACTTGATAAACTCAAGATTTTTATAATTGAATTCCCCAGGACATTATGTAGGATATTATTACTGTTTGGCCACTGTTATCATTAAGTTGGATTAAAGCACCACTGAACCAGAGGTGTCTCAGGGATCTCTGGACTACCTGTTACTGTAAAAAAAACAGAAGGCTTGTGATTTTTTTTTAATGACAGCTGAATACAAATGTTCATTTTGCTTACCTCCAAAACACCAGCCACTTCCATTAGGGGTATTAGTTCTGCTTTTACACAGTAACTCAATTTTTTGGTGCAATCCTGAAGAAGGGCTTTATATGCCCAGAATTCATCCAACTCCTTTATTGAGCACAAAACAGAAACCACTCTTCAATAAGTTTAAAATAAAATGAACACGCACAACATATTTCCAAAGGCATATGATATATCTTGTATAAAAACAGGGACAAATCAGTTTGAGGCACTGCGTTAATGTGGAACTAAACTCTTAAAAATACTCACCTTCCACCTGCTGTCATATGTTCTTCTAGGCTATATCTGCTTACCAGTTTTCAGGCCAGCAAGGAAGGACACCAACCCATTCATGCAAACAGGAGTCAGTCATTCCGACACAGTCAGGCATGCGCAGCTCAGTGTGCATTCAATAGAAGACTGTGAGCGGGCAGGTAAGTGTGCGGTACTGCAGAGGAGAGATAGCTTGTCTTCTGCAATAAAGAGCTACCTGCTTGCAGTCTTTTTCAAAAAAGTTTCATTTCAGCTTAAAAAAAACTAGGAACATATTTTTACTTTCAATAAAAACAAGACCATTGAAATAGTGATCGTTGTCAGTGAAAACACTTCTCTTTGATCTACTTTTTTTAACAAAGACAAAAAACAGGACACCATCCTCTGTCTCAGAAAAAAAAATGACTGAACACTAGAAATCAATATTTTGATAAGTATTATAACAAATAAAACAATACTGTGCAGACTCTCCAATTCATGCATTTGGGAAGTAGTGGCTGAACGGACACAGCCATTGCTCCCATATTAACAGCTGGGTGAGTGTGGGTCCCAGAACGCACACTTTGTGCATTTGGGGACCCAAATTGGGAGCAGTGGCTGTGTCCATGCCATTGCTGCATCCCAATGAACATGAATGGGACTGCCTGTGCTGGGGTGCATGGAACACATGTGTACCCCTGTGCAGGCAAACATGGCCCTCACACAGGTGTATTCTTAAGTACACCCATGCGAACAAGGCCTAATTGTCCCTGGCTATGAAATAATTGTTGGTACCGAAGAAGGCTCTGAGGTCTACACAGAATTGCTAGATTTCTTTATGCTGACAGAAAGCAAACTGCTCAAATAACCATTCTTTACAACAGTGGTGTGCAAAAGACCATCTCAGAATAGTAAAGATGGACAACATCAGCAGCAACCCATGACTGGTACCCCTCCTGTCAGTTATGAGCAGAAGGACATAATACAGTGGAATCACCAGATCTGTGTTGCTTAAAGGACATTGGTAAAAGTTTGGATTTAGGGCAGTGGTTGCCAAATTTCTTGATAATGTGGGCCTCAAGAGTGGCCCTTAACATCATCAAAGGGCTGCCCAGAAAATTCAGTGAATATTCAGTGTCAGAGACAGCAGACACACAAAAGGATATAGTCAAAGACTATAAGCATGATACCAGAGATAGTCAGAGACTGTGAACATAATATAGGAGATGGTCAAAAACAGTTGACATGGTATAGGAGATGGTCACAAACTGCAGACATGATAAAAAAAGATGGTCAGAGACTGCAGACATGGTATATGAGATGGTCAGAGATTGCAGAATTGATATGAGAGATGGTCACGAACTGCAGACATGACACAAGAGATGGTCAGAGACTGCTGACATACTGCAAGAGTCTGTCAGAGACTGTGAACATGCTATAGGAGTTGTTGGAGTCTGAGGACATGCTTCATAAGGAGACATATTACATACGACTACTAGAAATCACTGCTATAACAGGGCAATAGGGAAACAAATGTTAGTGTCTGCAAGGCCCTAGAGGTTCACACAAAAAGAGCCAAGGGACTACATGCGGTCCCAGAGCCACAGGTTGGGCACTGGGTATTTAGGGTGATACCATTTATTGACTAACTAAATGTAGTGCAAGCTTTCAAGGCGCACTGGCTCTTCTTCAGAAAATAAGAACTGATAGTAAGAAACAAGCATTTTTATTACATAAAAATGTAATTATGTGAAAAAAATGCATGCTCCTTAATACTACTTCATATTGCTTTAACAGGCCTACATGTCTGGAAAGCTTGCACTACAATCTAGACAGTGAATAAATGGTTTCACCAACCTTTTACTTTGTTGAAGGCTAACATGGTACAACACTTTTCTGCTGCTACGCTTAAAGGTCATTTGGTGCAGATATACTTAAAATGTAGGTCTCCCATCCCCAGTAGGTCCTCCACTTACCTGTCTACAATTCACTGAGATCTTCACGTTAGGGCCACATGTGCAGTAGAATCCCCATTAATTCTTATAAGAAGGGCATAGTTTTTTGGACACAGTGATCAATTGACTTTATATAGGAATGAACAGGAATTCTACTGTGCTTGCAGACACCAGCATGGAGACTTTCAGTGGAAAGCCTGTGTGGTATGCAGTAGCCCCACAGCATAGATCTCTGTGGCTTTTGGACAGGTAAGCGGAGGACTTGTAAACTGAACTGAATTTTAAGAATAACTGTACTAAAAAGTACAGTTATCTTTTAAAGCAGCCTGTTTAGAGACTGGCTGATAAATATGAACTATTCAGCTAAACAGTGAACAAAATCTCCATTAGTGTGAGTCTTCCAAGACACAGAAATCTGGACTTTTGAGAAAGTAAAAGTGCCTTCTATTAACAAAGGTGCTCATGCGCTAATGGACGTGCAATAATAGGGATGCAAAAACAAAATAAAAAACTCTTGCAGCAGTCCTATAATTGTGTTGTGTGCCACGATACATATAAAATAAAAACCAAACAGACCACACATCAATAAAGCATGTGCATATATATTCAGCATAAATGCCATTATTAGAAAAGTCCCAAATTAGTGAAACAAGTGCATGTGCTTGACTTAATTGCAGTGTCTTGATCCATTAATCATCTCAAAGTGCTCCACTGTGCCCAACAAAGTGCTCCACATGGACTGGAACTTACCCTTAGCCAATGACCATCTATCTCTAGAGTGGTCTGTAACGCTTTAGGGACAATCCTCAATGAGCCAGTTGTCTCTAGATCTGGAGAAAAATTATCTGCAAAAAAGTGCTGATTGATCTATACTGAGTTTAGATCATATTGGAAATTGCAGATAATTTTTTTCCAGATCTGGAGACAACTGGCCCATTGGAGATTATGGTCATTGGCTAAGGGTGAGTTCCAGTCCATGTGGGGCACTTTGTTGAGCACAGTGGAGCTCTTTGAGATGATTGATGAATCAAGACACTGCAATTAAATCAAACACATGCACTTGTTTCACTAATTTGTGACTTTTCTAATAATGGCATTTATGCTGTAAATATATATACATGATTTATTGATGCGCGGTCTGTTTGGTTTTTAGTTTAAAAGTGCCTTTTAATCTGCTTAGCCTAAACATTTTGGGGAAAAGAAGGACTGTATTTGAAACTATTAATGGAGCGGATTATGAAGGTACCACAATGTTTGCTGGGGGAATGAAAAAATTCACTTTAAGGTTGAAAAAATATTACCCGTTTTGACAAGTCTTGATTTTTGCTATAACATGAAAATGGTGGGGTCAGAAATTGGTGTTTGTGTTCAGGCAGGTGGTGGTTTCATGGTGATACTAGTCATGGTAATGCTACAGAGTAAGCAGTCAACAAAACCCCTATGAAATATTTTTTTTTTTTTTTTAATCAGATCTTTTTTAGTTTGTGTAAAAACACAAATATTTTTCTTTACAACAACAGACACACAGACATACAAAATACAGTGATCATACAGTGAAAAAATCCACACAATGTGGATATATGACTTACAACAAATGAAGCAATAAATAAACCATTGCAAATTGACCAGATAGTACATCTTCTTCCCAATGTCTCCAGCTTGCACCCATACCCCCACCGAACAAAGAAAATCCAGTCATCACATTTTAGAAATACAGTATACAATAATTACATAATTATAGGGAAAACAATCGATTTGCAATCATATGGAGCAGAGCCAAACCAAGAGTAGCCAGCCATGGGCCCCACACAATCTAACATTTTCTAATACAATTTCTATGTTGAAATAAAAGTTTTTCCCTGGAGATAACGATATTAACTTGAGATTTCCAGTCTATCACAGAAGGTGGGCTAGCCCCATGAAATGTTTATAACACCCTGCTGAACCACTGCTGTGAAGAATGGAGAATGTAAAAGTATAGCTAAAGGAAAAACCTTTTCTTTAATTTTGGACAGTGGAGTGGAGAGGGATTAGAACACAGTCAGTTTTTATTACTGTCTGTGCCCCCGTTAGAAAATCCAAAGTTTTGGGTTGTCCCCAGAAAAGTATTATATTAAAGGGGAAATCTTTCAATGGGGACATATGCTCTGGTGACCTGGGGGTCCCTAAGGAATTCCCTTACTTTGTAGGGATTTCCTCTCACTTCCTGCTTGGCTTTGGGACAGGAAGTGAAGGGAAATCTATGCAATGGGACACAGATGATGAAAAAAAATCCGACGAGGTTATTATCCTCCCTTGTGCTATTCAAAAATGAAAAAAAGTTTTGCCTGTAGTTCTGCTTTAAGAAGTTAAAGTGGGCTTCTACTTAATTTTTAATTCAATGCAATCATTACAATGCTAAACCATTTGTTTTATCATTTACAAAGACAGTTTATCAACTTACCTCACAGAAATGTAGAACACAAGAGGAGAAAGAGGCAGATGAATTCAGCAAATTCTGAATAAATCCCCGAGGGATGTTATATTTTCCTGACACACACCAAATGTCCAAATCTTTCATCAAGGCATGCAGTATGAATGACAAATAAAGACGATTCACCACTCTGTCGTCTACACTCTACAATCAGAAGACAGTACAATACAGGATGTCTTATGGCTTTCTGCAATTATATTGAAATGTATAAACAAAACATTCAATACAGAGCAGGTCTTTTAAAGACAGTAAGAACCTACTGAAAACATATGATGTGAAGAGCAACACTTTTCAAATACTATGAACAAAAAAATCATCTTACAAACAGATATTTTCTTTTCAGTAGCATTTATGCGTTTTCAAAAAGAGCAATACATACTGTGGTATGTATCATATTTATCTGAAGCAAAGCATCGCACCAACAAACCATCAGAAATCCAGCCAATATGAGAGGGGCGTGCAAGTCAAACCCGGACTTTTGAGTTTATATAATAAAAGAACAAATTTCAAGGAGAGGAAACTACATTTATTTTTTTATATACTCCCCTGCTACATTTATACACTTATCCCAGCATTTAACTAATGCCTGGACAGCTTCGGCATAGAAGGATTTGTCAGTACACCCCGAACCATCCTACGACTGCCTGCTTCATTTCGTTATCATTGTGTGCACCATTCCCACAGAAAGGTTTGTCTCTTGTGCAATTTCATGACAGGTTATGCGTCGATTATCCAGGATCAGGCATTTCACATGCTGAATGTTCATAGGAATGACTGCTGTGGGCTGGGAACCCATGATGTACAGCCATCTTTGAAACATTTACACCATTCAAATGTCTTCTGTGGCTGAGCATCTCATCACCGTACTGTGCTTGAAGTCTTCTGTGGATATCTGCGGGTTTTCTGCCTTCGTTCACAAGAAACTTCATCACCACACGCTGTTCTATGTACACACTAACACTGTTGTCTGCCATCTTGATTATCAGTCTCTGGACTTGCCAGAAACATGTACATCGCCTATCAGTAATAGGACACACTTGCCCCTTATTACTGCATGTAGTACCATCACACTAGCATCCCTTTTTATACCTGTAAGATTAGAAGTCCCGGTTTGACTTGAACGCTCCTCATAATAACACTTTAGCACAGTTATCATACAGTTTATCATAAACTGAAAGCAGTCTGCAGTTGAATATAATGAAATTCCTGACATTATTTATTACTTCAAGTAATCTACGCCAGTGTTTCTCAACGTTTTTTCAGTCAAAGCACCCTTTAAAATTCTGCCCAAATCTCAAGACACCCCAATCTAAAATGTAAAAACCTATTCTTCACACATCTAGAACACCTAATGTTAGAGGTGATTTATTCTTCCAAAGCAAATACACCTTTGCACACTGGTACTGACTAGTATTCCAGTGTGTCTCTCTCATTTTTTCTACTTTTCTCTGCTAATGTGATCCCAGTGCTGATGGAGAGGGGCAGGGAAGGGGCAAACAAGGTTGATGTGCATGCACCCAACATCCTTCTTATCAACTGATGATATAATTGGTTGTTAGGATGCTGGCAGCTAGAAGGTTATAAAAGTGCACAATACAATCTTATGACTTTGTGTACTAAAAGGCAGGATTGATCCACCTGCTGGCTTGTATACAATTTTTGGGCAATTTACCAAGGCACCCCTGAAGAAGCCTGAAGGCACCCTGGTTGAGAAAGGCTGATCTACGCATTACTCCAGTTAACTGGTTCAATACTGCATAAAATCAAGAATAAGAAAAAGAGGATTAAACTCGAACTACAGTCAACACCAAATTCAGCACAAGGGAAAGTAGGATGTGTCCCTTGTGCTGATGTCTCCCCAGTTAGCTAACATACTCTTCCATTGATGCCTGGTCTGGGCAGGCATAGTTGAGCACTCTTAATGAGTGCCTGTCCCTGCTCCCTCGGAGAAAAGGGAGGGGGGAGGGATTTCAGCTACAGAGGAGACATTAACACAAGGGACACATCATACTGACTGTAAGTAATGTGCCTTGTGCGGGTTTTTGTTATTTTATTTTGACTGCAGTTAGGCTTTAATTATAGGAAAGCATGACAAGAAGCCTTAAAGTGTTGCATCTTTTGTAAAAAGGGTAGGTAGGTTTCCTTATAAATACTAGCAGTTGTCTTAGTCAGTTTTATGCCAAGAAAAGAAATGCTTCCCTACACCCATATATAAGGGTATAAAGATTGTAAAAGAATTCTGCTGGTGCTATTTAGGCCTAAATCCACATGTACATTTTTTCCTTATTATTTAGCCTTTTCATGCTGCCCCTGTGCTGATTCTGCCCTCCCACCCATGCAACCAAAATTAACAGCATGTGTGATAGGCTTCTTCCTTGCTTCTTGTGCTAGCCCACTGATGGTGTTTGCACCTTAGCTTTCTGTATTGTAATGATGTGCAATAGATTACATCAGGTAAGGCAAACTATGTAGGCAACCTAGTATAAGTACAGCATTTGAGTCAAGAAAGGATAATAATGCATAGTACACAACTACATGATGCTATTAAAAAAAAAAGTACCTTTTTTACACTTTGGCCTGAAACCTTGCGTGCAAGAAAACTTTCTGGCACCCCTACATTTCCAGCCACTTTCTGATCCACTGGATCAAGCAGATTAAACTGAAAAAAAAAAATATTATTTTACACATAATATTATGATGAGATAGACTACGCATAAAGCAGAACTGAAGGCTTTTTACAAAAACTTGCGAGTAGGCAGGCTATTTATCGCAGAAGAGACATGCAATATCTCTTCTGCAATAAAATACAGCAACCTGCCTCCTCGCAGTTTTCTGAGGCATATGCACTGAGCTGTGCATAAGCAGCTCAGCTTATATCACCAGCACAGTCCCCATGTGTGTGGGGATTAATGACTCTGCACATGTGCAGGACTTACATCAACGTGCAGCAGCTAATGAAGGTGCCTGAAGACTGGCACCCGGGGAGAACATGAGGGCACAGGTGAGGGAACCCTCAGGGACTTTAGACTATTAGAGAACAGAGAGTTGTCCTTGCTATAGAGTTTAGTATTAAAGCAGGAATAATGTTTAGAAAGTAGATTAATAAAAAAATGTTGACACAAAAAAACAACAGAATCAAATTTTTTAAATCAAAAATATATTCTCAAAACTCAGAAACCTATGCAAACCTTATTACAATGTAAGTACACAAAGACTTTAGATGCCTGGGATGCGTAAAGATGCCCATAGACAGGCAAATCTTTAATAAGAATGATAGTTGATAAAGAAACGATACCACCTTTCATTTGATTGGTGGTAAACTGCATGTAACACACTGTAAGGCCTCATTCAGACAGACGCTGACACATATAGTCTATGAATGAGTGCCTTGTTTAAGCAGCTTCAGCCACCAGGTGCTGCCTGCAAGCAGCCCATTCACGTCTACTGTATGGGGACGCAGCAGCTGAGCAGACAGAGCCACTCATTCCAATCTGGCAACTGTGTGTGAGTGGCTCCGAATGCAGGCAGCACTTATGCGCACCTACATGGCCGTCAAAAGGAGGCAAGCAGCTGTGTTCCTACAGAAATGAATGAGCTGCTTGGATGCACCACCTATTGGCTTCAGCCGTTTAAACAAGGAGCTCATTCACGAACTACAGGTGTTACCGCCTGTCTGAATGAGGCCAAAGGGTTTGGCTACTTTATTATGAATAAATATGGATGATCTTTCTGTGAACATGGTGACCAACATATTGCATATTCTCTGAATCACAAGCACCTTCAAAGCTTGCACTTCATACTAAAAAAAAAATGTTACAGACAGCTGCATTGTCTGCTAAAATCTAACATTTTCTTCTTCCTAAAAATGCCATTTTACTACTGAATTCGATGGTCATGGCTCTAAATGCTGTTGCCATGAGCTGCGTATTATCAAACTAGGATGCTGAACCTTTTGGGGACATATAGGATACTTCTGTATTAATGTTGTAGCATGTCACTTCTAACTGCTTATCCTATGAGGTTAGAGTTCCCTGATAAAACTGTCCTTCTTTGAATTGCAATTTTCTGCCTGAACTGGGTGCCCCAACCAGCCGTCTTTAGGACTTGTGTAAAGTGTTGTTTTTTTCTATTGCTCCCAACCTCTATTTGTGAAGCATTTTGGATAGATTTGGGACTTTGGAAAGATTTCAGGTTTTCGGACAGCTTGAATTTCAATTTGGTGGACCATTGTTTACTTGCATTTATTGCTGCATTTTCTTTGACATACGTTTTGCTAAAAGCAGAATTTATTATTGAGCTGTGTTGGATTTCTGCATATATTACAAGTCAATATGAAATCAAATTAGAAGCAGGTCAGATAGAAACAGAATAAAAACACAAACCATCAATCTCTGAAAGTATCTGAAGGCAGGTTGGGTTTGACATGCTTCGGAGTTTGATCCCATGTACTCAAACATCTACTCTCTGCTATTTACCTCTTGCTATGGCTGCACTTCCTAATGCTTATTCTACAACCGATGTACTTCACTGCACATTGAGAACACTGAAAATGGGCACAAATTTTACCCATTTTATGGTCCCCATGAGTTGAAGTAGCAATATAGTCAGCCATCATACACCCGTTCTGGTTGGCTTTGTATATACCATGCATAGTTTTGACAGGAATGGTATATTGCAGCCAGGCAATGGAGTTAACTTTTTATGCTCAATTCCTGGTATGCATGTTTTTACATATCTACATTAGTCCAGTTTAGTCCAATCTATGCTTGCATGATCCATACTTAGCCCCTTTCTGTGGAAGCTGGAAATCCCTGTAGTAGACACTGCTCTTCACAGTTACCATTTAGAGAACACTTAGAATTTTGTACATGAATGTAATGTGCTCTCTGATTAGAGGAGGTGGAAATTGTGATGTCTCCTCCTCGCCTCTCCACCTCAGAGAGAGTCCATAGTTTGAGTATTTTTACAAAACACGTTTTTTCTTTTTGCAGCATTTAGTGTCTTGCCTTGTGGTCTGGAATCAGTTCAGGTTCTCGGATCGACAGCACATATTTACAAAATATAAACTTAAAAATGTGTGTATCATATTTCACCTGTCTAAAGTAAATCATCCAGTCTGGGTTGCACTGGGCTACCATGTCGTACGGTGTCACCAAGTACAGAAGATGAAGGTGGCTCTTTAGTACTAGGCCTTCTAATCCTTTTATAAGATCACTGTACAGCACATCACTGTAAGATAAATCGATGGAACCTACAAGACAATATAAATATTAAAGACAAATAAACTTCTGTTATGGATAATAAAGAATTGCCCATATAAAGCAACATGTTGGGTTACCTTTAAATGTTGCTTGGCCTAGTCTTGAAACCTCAAACACAAGCTGACTTGAGTCGAGGCAGCTTTTGCTGCATATAAGGCTTTTGCTTGATAGTGTTTCTAATGATTCCTTTGTTATGTCCCACAGTGATTTATCTTTACAAAAATGTTTTTGTTGTACACTGAAAAAAGTATAACATGCAAAGCTGTAGATCTCATCAGCTGTTCTTGCAATCTAAAAGAACCAAAAATAAAATTAATTCTGAAATCTACAATTGTGTTCATATTGAGAAAATAAATACTTCTGGTACAGTGTGTACATTTCACAGCAAAACATCACTGTCTAATGAAACTTCCACCGATCTTAAACAGATCTATCATCAAATTAGGCTCTTTCTCCTCCACGAACCCAGAACTCAAGCCTAAGCATTTAGTCACATCACTGGTTGTGAGGAGAACCTGAAGCAGAATTATTGAGGTTGCCAGTGATGGTAGAGGGGCATGACAATCGTTTGGGGAAATGTAATACATTTATTTATTTATTTCAGATACTTACATAGCGCCATCAATTTACGCAACATTCACATCAGTCTCTAACCCTCAAGGGGTCCCTAACTCACATACATACACATACTAGGGCCAATTTAGACAGGAACCAATTAACCTACCAGCATGTCTTTGGCGTGTGGGAGGAAACTGGAGTACCCGGAGGAAACCCACGCAGACACAGGGAGAACATGCAAACTCCAGGCAGGTGGTGCCATGGTTGGGATTCGAACCAGCGACTCTAGTACTGGCAGGCGGAAGTGCTAACTATTTAGTCATTGTGCTGCCCCTAATACATGTGCTGGGACCCTAGAATTTACTTATTATAGGAGTTCTAATGGTATTTGGAAAGGCTATCTAGACTACAGTCTGGTTTGTGACTGACATAATCTGAGACTGAAGTTCCACACCATTGATTCCAACAGTATATTTTAATATATCGCACTGAGTATGGATAAAAAATTGTGAAAGCGTGTGTGTGTGTTAAAACACAGTTTGTCAGCAGCTGGTTTCAGCGTCCATTCAAACCAGTAGCTGACAGACTGGGTGCTTTGTGTTTATCCATCTCAATTCAGTATATATTATCATTCATCATAAATCCAGATGAAAGGGGTATATTGTTGACCCCCAAAATGAATTGTATTTGTGACATTTACTTTTACTGCATATTTGGAATAGATTTATTTCTGGACTTTGGAATTAATAGTATATGAAACCAGACAAAGAGCTATCTTTGTAAATGTAGGGGATTATGTTGCAAAATATGACAAATTATTTCTATATTGTAAGAGGAAAAAAACTATTTTCACTCATATGGAAATAGAGATAACTGAAACACATTCACAAGTATATACAGTATATAAATGAATTAAGTTATCACAATAGTTGTGCTCAAAAGTTTGCATACCCTTGGAGAGCTGGTAATATACAGTATAGAGATGAGCGAATTATTCAAAAATTCGATTCGGCTGATTCGCCAAATTTGCGGGAGAAATTCGATTCGATGCAAATTTATTCGCCACGAATTTAACTTATTTAAAGGGTTTCTAGGCTTCAGAGAGCCTTTATATTAGTGCAGAACACTGTACCTTTAATTTAAATGCCCTTGGAGTCTGCTGGGGAAGAGAAATAATACTGTCAGTCAGTATGACATGCAGATGAGTGCCGTCGATCTTAGAATCACCGCACACTTCACTCATTTGGGCAGTCACGGGGCACGACGAAGAAGAAGAAGAAGAGGAAGAAGAAGAAGAATGAAAAGAAGAAGAAGAAGAAGAATGAAAAGAAGAATGAAAAGAAGAATGAAAAGAGAAGAAGAAGAATGAAAAGAAGAATGAAAAGAAGAATGAAAAGAAGAATGAAAAGAAGAAGAAGAAGAATGAAAAGAAGAATGAAAAGAAGAAGAAGAAGAATGAAAAGAAGAAGAATGAAAAGAAGAAGAAGAATGAAAAGAAGAAGAAGAAGAATGAAAAGAAGAATGAGAAGAAGAATGAAAAGAAGAATGAAAAGAAGAAAAGAAGAAGAAGAAAAGAAGAATGAAAAGAAGAAGAAGAATGAAAAGCAGAATGAAAAGAAGAAGAAGAAGAATGAAAAGAAGAAGAAGAAGAATGAAAAGAAGAATGAAAATAAGAAGAAGAATGAAAAGAAGAAGAAGAATGAAAAGAAGAAGAAAAGAAGAAGAAGAAGAAGAAGAATGAAAAGAAGAAGAAGAAGAATGAAAAGAAGAATGAAAAGAAGAATGAAAAGAAGAATGAAAAGAAGAAGAAGAAGAATGAAAAGAAGAAGAAGAAGAATGAAAAGAAGAAGAAGAAGAATGAAAAGAAGCAGAAGAAGAATGAAAAGAAGAAGAAGAAGAATGAAAAGAAGAATGAGAAGAATGAAAAGAAGAATGAGAAGAATGAAAAGAAGAATGAGAAGAATGAAAAGAAGAATGAAAAGAAGAAGAAGAAGAAGAAAAAGAAGAAGAAGAAGAATAAAAAGAAGAAGAAGAATGAAAAGAAGAATGAAAAGAAGAAGAATGAAAAGAAGGAGAAGAAGAATGAAAAGAAGAAGAAGAATGAAAAGAAGAAGAAGAAGAATGAAAAGAAGAAGAAGAAGAATGAAAAGCAGAATGAAAAGAAGAAGAATGAAAAGAAGAAGAAGAATGAAAAGAAGAAAGAAAAGAAGAAGAAGAAGAATGAAAAGAAGAAGAAGGAAAAGAAGAATGAAAAGAAGAAGAAGAAGAATGAAAAGAAGAAGAAGAAAGAATGAAAAGAAGAATGAAAAGAAGAAGAAGAAGAATGAAAGGAAGAAGAAGAATGAAAAGAAAGAAGAAGAAGAATGAAAAGAAGAAGAAGAAGAATGAAAAGAAGAATGAGAAGAAGAATGAAAAGAATTAAAAGAAGAATGAGAAGAATGAAAAGAAGAAGAAGAAGAATGAAAAGAAGAAGAAGAAGAATGAAAAGAAGAATGCAAAGAAGAAGAAGAAGAATGAAAAGAAGAAGAAGAAGAATGAAAAGAAGAAGAAGAATGAAAAGAAGAATGAAAAGAAGAAGAATGAAAAGAAGAAGAATGAAAAGAAGAAGAAGAAGAATGAAAAGAAGAATGAAAAGAAGAAGAATGAAAAGAAGAAGAAGAAGAATGAAAAGAAGAATGAAAAGAAGAAGAATGAAAAGAAGAAGAAGAAGAATGAAAAGAAGAATGAAAAGAAGAAGAAGAATGAAAAGAAGAAGAAGAAGAATGAAAAGAAGAATGAAAAGAAGAAGAGAAGAATGAAAAGAAGAAGAAGAATGAAAAGAAGAATGAAAAGAAGAAGAAGAATGAAAAGAAGAAGAAGAAGAATGAAAAGAAGAATGAAAAGAAGAAGAAGAAGAATGAAAAGAAGAAGAATGAAAAGAAGAAGAAGAAGAATGAAAAGAAGAATGAAAAGAAGAAGAAGAAGAATGAAAAGAAGAAGAAGAAGAATGAAAAGAAGAAGAAGAATGAAAAGAAGAATGAAAAGAAGAAGAAGAAGAATGAAAAGAAGAATGAAAAGAAGAAGAAGAAGAATGAAAAGAAGAAGAAGAATGAAAAGAAGAAGAAGAAGAATGAAAAGAAGAATGAAAAGAAGAAGAAGAAGAATGAAAAGAAGAAGAAGAAGAATGAAAAGAAGAATGAAAAGAAGAAGAAGAAGAATGAAAAGAAGAAGAAGAATGAAAAGAAGAAGAATTCCAGTACAGCAAAAAGTGTATCTGCAGAGAGCTCCGCTATTTCTGACAGTTCTCTGACGGTTCTGACAGTTCATTTACAGCGGTTGAAACATTGTATCTATTTATTTCCGAATAAAAACATCTGTATCCTAAATGGAAACAAATAGATACAATGTTTCAACCGCTGTAAATGAACTGTCAGAGAACTGTCAGAAATAGCGGAGCTCTCTGCAGTGACACTTTTGCCGGCTGAGGGAAAATTCGATTCGTGCATCCGAAGTTTGCTAAAATTCGGATTCGATGCGAATCGAATTTTTCCTAATATTCGAAACGAATTCCACTTCGCCAAGTTCGATTCGCTCATCTCTAATACAGTACATATAATTTTTAAGGAAAACATGAGTGAGCAGGCAAAACACATTTCTTTTATTTTTTTATGGGAGTCACATTCAACTGTAGGTCATAACAGAATGGCACAATCATAAAACAAAACATGGCAACAAGTAAACAAATGAAATGACCCCTGTTCAAAAGTCTGCATACCTTTAGTTCTTAATTCTTGCCCCCTTTAGCATCAATGACAGCATGCAGTCTTTTGTAATAGTTGTCTATGATGCCCTGAATTCTTCCAGGTGGTATAGCTGCCTATTTGTCTTGGCAAAATGCCTCCAGGTCATGCAAAGTCTTTGGTCATCTTGCATGAACCGCACGTCTGAGATTTCCCCAGAGTGACTTGATGATATTAAGGTCAGGAGACTGTGATGGCCACTCCAGAATATTCACCTTTTTTGTGCTGTAACCACCGGAGGGGCCTGTGCTTAGGGTCACTGTCGTGCTGGAAAATCCATGAGCATCCCATGCACAGATTTCATCTAGAGGAATGCAAATGGTCTGCCAGTATTTTCTAATAACATGCTGCCATCATCTTGCCATCAATTTTCACAACATTCCCCATGGCTTTACAGCTCCCCCCCCAAAAAAAAAACCAAACAAACAATACATCAGTGAGCCACCACCATGCTTTACAGTGGGGATGGTATTCCTGTTGCTATAGACCTTGTTGACCCTCTCCAAACATAGCTTTTATTGTTGTGGCCATAAAAGCTAAATTTTGGTATTGTCACTGCAGATTACATTGTGCCAGAAGCTGTGAGGTGTGTCAAGGAGTTGTCAGGTATATTGTAACTGGGCTTTCCTGTGGCATTAGCATAGTAAGCAACTCAACCATGCGGCCTCATTTTGTTCATCAAAGTATCATCGTATTGTGCTCCTTGAAACAACCACACTTTTTCCAGAGATGCCTGTATTTCTCCTGAGGTTACCTGTTGGTTTTTCTTTGTATCCTGAACAATTCTTCTGGCAGTTGTGGCTTTCTTTCTTGGTATACCTGACCTTAGCATAGTATCAAGAGATCCCCAAATTTCCCACTTCTTAATAAGTGATTGAACAGTACTGACGGCATATTTAAGGCTTTGGATATCTTTTTATATCCTTTTCCATCTTTATAAAGTTCCATTACCTTGTTACACAGGTCTTTTGACAGTTCTTTTCTGCTCCTCATGGTTCAGTATCTAGCCTGCTCAGTGCATCCATGTAAGAGCTAACAAACTCATTGACTATTTATAAACAGACACTAACTGCAATTTAAAAAGCCAGGGTTGTTACAAAATAACCCTTAACTGCCATTTTAACCTGGGTGTGTAACCTTTTGTACCTCTACCAAAGCCAAACATTCCAGGGTATGTAAACTTTTGATCATGGCCATTTAGGTGATTTCTGTTATCATTATGATTTAAAAAGGAGCCAAACCACTATGTGATAATAAATGGCTTCATATGATCACTATCCTTAAATAAAAGACAGTTTTTGGCATGATCAGTCATATTTTTGACATCAATGACAACATTACACGATTTCTGCTAAAGTATTCAAACTTTTGAGCACAACTGTACATTATGAATTGCTGAAAACAAAAAAAATGTGTATTTGTGAATGTAAATCTAATTTGAAAATCAAATGCATTAAAGTGATTTTATCACCAAGAGAGTGGGAAATGGTTAGAGCCCATGTTAGGCTTTTGTTGCCATCTGTGTTTTTCTTGGAAGGATTTTCCCTCACTTCCTGTTCTGAAAGCACCACAAAAAAATGACTGGAAGTCTCCCAGAAGTGGGGAGGAATCCCTGCTTTTACAGCTTTCTCCAGAACAGATGTCCCCCCTTTAGGGCATTTCCCACCACCTCTTGTTCCAGAGCAAATGAAAAAACGTCAGACTTTCTTACACTTTCTGTCTGACAGCTAAAATAATGGTCAGTTATTGGCCTTTACTATGGAAATACAAGCTATATCTCTGTAACAAAAAAAAAAAAAGAAAAAGCATTATTACCTTTAGTCCAATTAGTGAAAGCAGTAAGCTCTGAAATCCTTTCCCTTCATCATGCATAAGGTTACTATAACAGCTCTCTAGTGGCTTGCTAACCAATTCCTGAACCTAAAAGATATATGTAGAAAGCAGGAGCAAAACAAGCAAAGCAGAGAAAAAAATAGAAATTATAAAGTAAAAACCAAATAGAATTCAGATAGTGTATTAAAAGCAAACATTACACTGTTTAAGTTAATGACTAGCACAAACAACATTTACCTGGACTTTAAAACAGTAGCTATCAATATAGATAGTTACACAAGAGAAATGTCTCATTTTTACACTTGAAAAGGAAGGCCATTTACCCCATTCGGTTCTAGAACTCCCAAATATTTTTTTTCAGACATGTATTAGCGTTTAACTGTAAAGCGGGGTGATAAGTTGCGTGCCCTGTGCAGGGCACAGGTGTTGCGTGCATCCCCATGCCAGCAGTACCATAGTTGTGTATTGGGACATGTGGCTGCACAGATACAGCTGCTGTGTCCCCATGTGACATCTGTGTGGGGTCCCAGGGCAAGTTTGGGGACATGCACGGACACGGATGTAACATTGGGAAACAGCAGCTGTGCCCGTACTGCCGTGTGTCCCAGTAGACATCTATGTGACTACAGGCACAGGGATACATGCAACACCTGTGCTTCCCCATGCTAGTAAAAGAGAGCCCTGCATAGGGCACACTTCTAATTGCCCTTGAGAACGGAGCCTTACAGTACTTCATTGCCTTACAATTTAAAGATGAGGGGAATGGATCAAACTGGAGAAGCTAGAATAAGCTGTGCATGGCAGCCAACCAAGGCCTTGCTCTGAAGAAGGGGAATAGGTCCATGAAATGTGTCAGCTGGTTTTGCTGTTGGTCTCTATTTGGAGGTGGAGAGTGGTCCATACATGCTTTTAGCTCACTTTGGTTTGTGAGTATAACCTTTGTCATTCACATCTTTTAATGAAGTGTCAAAAGATAATAGACGTGTGCGCCCTTTCTGTTTTCTGTTTCTCTTTAGTGTTTGATCTCCCTGGTCTGAGGAGGGCTACAGCGTCTAAATTTCCTGTTTTGGATACCAAGGGACCTTATGAGCATTGGCCTATACTACGAGTGCCTTTGATCATTTCGGAGCACGAGTGTCAAGTTTTTTCCTTCCTTTTCTTCGCATCTTAAGCCATATTACATTCTGATAGGCAAGTCAACCAAGTATGCAGGAAAAGTGTGAGGGTCAGTACAATGTTTGAAGAATAAATAAAAAAGTGAGCGCTCTCTCAGCAGCAGCCAATGCACTCAAGGTAATCACAGCAAAACCCTCAAAATACACAAAAATATAAGAAGTGCGGCGCTAATAAATATGTGTCTCAAGTGAACCAAAACACAAATATGATAGGCAAAAATTAATATATCAGATAAATAATAATGTCCAAGTAAAACGCAGGATCTTGCATGAAGTAAAAAGAACCAGGATCCAACAGTAAAATTGCGCACTCACCGGACGCGCTATAAAAAGAGCGCATATGTAGTATGACCACTGGAGGCCTCCCCTCTGATGATGTGCTGGAGCACGAAAGGCCTTAGGAGGAGCCAGCAGAGCGTGACATTCAGCCGCCTGGAACCACGAGGAAGCCCGGCGGCCATCTTACTTTTGGGTCAGTTACACTCCCATTCATTGTTCACTTTCACAGTGTTTCTGCCCTGTATTTAAGTTCTTACATTTTTGGAATAAACGTTTTTGCTTTTTACATACTACACTATGAGGTGTTTTTTGGCTCCTATCTGGAGCTAACATATTTCAGGAAATTCCATTTCTCATCTTCACCACCGGAAGGAGTCCCTTACTTATCATTCACCCAGTCTTAAGGGGATTTCTGGATCTGGAAGTTGTCCATTATACTGGGATCACCTGTTCCTGGATGGCTATCTACTGTCCCCGCATGATGGATTTCCAGTGGTCATACTACATATGCGCTTTTTTATAGTGCGTCCGGTGAGTGCGCAATTTTACTGTTGGATCCTGGTTCTTTTTACTTCATGCAAGATCCTGCGTTTTTACTTGGACATTATTATTTATCTGATATATTAATTTTTGCCTATCATATTTGTGTTTTGGTTCACTTGAGACACATATTTATTAGCGCCGCACTTCTTATATTTTAATGTCTGAAGAATGTAGGGGGAGGGCTTGGAGTGTATTTAGCTATTTGGACTGGTACCAAGTACCAACTAAATAGAGGTTCGTTATTGGTTTTTTTAGCATATTGTTTTGAGAGCATAATTTGTTCATGGTTCATATTTGTCATATTATATTTTTGGTCCACTCTTTTAACTCTTTCCCATACATGTATGCAAATTATAAATTCTACAATATAAATTCAGTATTATAGAATTTGTAATTATCAAACTATAACTAAAGGCAAAACTGTTTTTTTCAGCTTTGGATAGAGTGGAGAGGGATTAGAACACCTTTTAGGTTTTTATTGCTCTATGTGCCCGTTAGGGATATTCACTCCCTCTAGTTGTCCTGTTTACTGTTATCAGTGAAAGAGAAATAAAATTCTAAATTATGGGTTGTCCCTAGAACAGGAATAGAGGGGAAATCTTACTTTGGGAACTTTACTCCTGGTGATTTCCTCAGTTTTGGGATTCCCTCAGTTTTGGGGCATACTCACTTCCTGTTTTGGCTATGGGACAGCAAGTGAAAAGAAATCTCCCCAATGGGACACAGTGGAGTCACGGCTCCCTGGCGCTGCAACTTCACCTGGTCTTCCTTCCAGTTTCACGGCCTTTTGGCTGTATGAATGGCTGGGGTCGCGATGATGTCACTCCCGCATATGCGCACAGGAACCCTTGGCTACAGCATGGAGCACTGAGGGTTCAGCATGATATTCTGTCCCTTCAAAGAGCATGCACTGGTGACGTCACCGGCAGTATGTTATGTGAATGTCTCCTAAACCGTGCACGTTTAGGGAATGTTCACTGTGCCTACAAGTAGGTACAAGTTCTCTAAAAGAGGACTTTACTTCAACTTCAATCTTGTTTGATAACTTATGATATATGAATATTTGTATCGCTGAATCAACAACTCAAAGAATATGTAAAGCCTGAAGGAATACAACTATACGGGTACTGTTGAGTTGATCATGTCTCTAATATTTATTTTCTAAGTATTTTACCAGCACAAGAACAGGTCAAAAAATATGATGTACTACGGAGTTATTCCAATGTCATGTTGTACCTTCTCTGTTGCATTTTGTATATGATCTTAATTCTGTGTATGCTCACAAATGTGTAATATCCTAATAAACCTTCACTCTAGAAAAAAAATAAAACAAAAAAACAAACATACAGTATGTATAGCCTAAACCTTTTTGGAGAGAGTAAGGAAAGCTTACAAACTGATAGTTTTTTTTTACTGTCTGTATGGGTTTTACATCACTTTCTGACTTGATGACAATGATAATCTGGGTAGCAGAACAGGAAAGAACTCTACAGCTATTCCTAGATAAGAAACTGAAGCTTTGAGGAGGGTGGTATAAAAGATAAGCTTTACTCTGCTGACTAGTGTGTTAAAATCATTAGGATTACCATTTGTTTATCCTTGTCCTGTATAATAAGGATGCTTTCCCCGGCACTGTCAATTCCAGCTCGACCAGCCCTGCCAATCATCTGTTTATATTGTGCCCTCTTCAGGAAATCTTTGGCAACATATGGTGCCCGTAAAATAACCCTGCGGAAGGGAAAATCAAACCTAGGATATTATTACCAGGAATATGAACTATATATATACTATATATATATATGTACACACATACATATACACACATACAGTACTATCTATGCAAACATTTTAGGCAGGTGTAAAGAAATGATGTATAGTAAGAATACAGTTTTATGTCACAGGTCATACACCATGGCAAGACTGAGTACGACAACAAGACACAAGGTAGTTATACTGCATCAGCAAGGTCTCTCCCAGGCAAAGATTGCAAAGCAGACTTGGGTTTCAGAAAAGGAAACTTAATGCAGTAGATAAAAGACACATCATGCTTCCTCCCCTTCGACATCAAAAAATGTTCAGCAATGTTATCAGCACAAAACTGGCAGAAACCAGTGGAATCATGTGGTCTTTATAAAAGAATTGTGGCCAAAAAGTCATACCTCCGATGTGGAAATAAGGCTGAGACTCAACTATGCATGAAAACATAGGAACTGGGGTACAGAAAAATTACAGCAGGTGCTCGAGTCAAAATTTTAAATATTTGGCAGCAGCAGGAGGCAGTTTGTTAGCCGAAGAGCTGGACAGCAGTACAATAAAGAGTGTCTGCGGCAACAGTTAAGCATGTTGGCGTTTCCTTGCAGGTTTGGTGCTGCATTTTTGCAGAGTTGGAGATTTGGTCAGTCTTTATCAATAAACAAAATGAACACTAAATGAACTATGAACACTTCTATTTCTAAAAACATTCTTAATTCACAGAATTTATTCACACCTGCCTAAAACATTTGCATAGTAATAAAAGTATATATATATATATATATATATATATATATATATATACACACACACACACACATACACTCACTTATATACACACACACTAAAACTTAAATTAAATTAAAATTAAGGAAACACTATCCATCATTCTCGCAGTTTACTTGAGCGATTACTGGCATAACATGCCAGTATTCTTATAGTTATAATAGGTTCAGGATCTCAGCAGCACAATTGTCACTTTCCTACTATTTACAGAAAGTAAGCAAAGAGGACACAGGAAATCAACATTATAATGGCTCTTAGAATGAGATCCAACTAATAACGGCTTAGTAATAAAGCAATGCAAATGGCAATGGCTATGCGAGTAACCCACAGCATCCAAAAGAGACATAATAGTGAAAGCTGAATGCTGTTTGGTTGCTGTAGGAAGAAGGCACATATGCTTTACACACAGGCAACCGGTATTTTCAAAGAGGGCCTCAAATGCCAATGATGTACAGCTTGTTTGGGCCTTTTCATTATTCCACTGCCACCTTATAATTTTTTTCTTAGACACTTAAAAGAGGAGAGCAGCAGAAAAAAAAAAAATCATACTCATCTAGATGGCTGTAGCACCGATCACAGCTGCAGCTGTCCCCTGCTGGCTCTCCCTGAGAACTGAGCGATCAAACATGGCCGATCAATCAGTTCTCACCCTCTGCTCTGAGAGGCTCTCTGCTTTGCCCCTCCAGCGCCCATTGGAGCACCAGGCTGTGAGGGGCTGGCTCAGGTTCTGAGCTGCTCGTTGAGAAGCTGAGCCAGCTGCCAGTCCATGCATCTGGGTGGATTCTGACTGTAAAGTCAGGGGTCTTTCCTGAGCCTGGAACAGTTGAGAAACATCAGCTGACAGTGGGCTTTAAAAAGCTCGTTGTCAGCTGAAAATGGGTCGCAGGAGTGCAGAATGAACTGCACTTCTTTGATCCACAAGAGAAGTATAGCCAAAATAGATTTGGCTATACTTATCCTTTAAATAATTTTATAAAAAGAAAAATGTGTCTATGTTATTATTAACCAGAAATTGATTGCTCACTGTCCTCGAAATGTAAAGAGATACAACAGATTATATGAACCATTCTTACACTCAGGTTACATTAACAGAAATAAATACCAAAATCTTGCATGCATAGTCAAACTGTGTTCAAGTTAAAGAAGAGGACCAAATAGACAGCACCAGTGGGCTGCTCATTATTGAGACATGCCCGTGAATTAATACATTGGTGTTGATTTACTAAAGGCAAATAGTCTTTGCACTGCATTACTTCTTTTCCTTGCATGTTCCCCTCAGATCTAGAACAACTGCACTTGAAGTACACTTAAAGTGCACTTGCAAGTGTGCTTGCAGTGCACAGACTATTTGCCTTTATTAAATCAACCCCAATGTTTAACAAACTGACCTTCGAGCTGGCAGATTGACTCCTGCTGCCAGAGTGGAAGTGCATGTAAGTAGACAGAGGACTCCAGCCGAATAGGCTTCTTCCACCAACTTCCTCTCATCACTAGTCAGTCCACTGTGATGGTAAGCGATGCCAAAGGGAACTGTTCTCTTCAGCACCGAGCACATTGTTCCATTGCCTGTGTTCTTTAGGTTTTCAAGCAGGATCTTCTTTTCGGCTTCTCTGTAATCTAAGTATGCTCTTAGGCATACAAAAGTGAATGTGTCATTTTTAGCATCGTTTTATGATGTGCTGGTTAAAAAATTGGATTTTGTTCTACATACTTACCTGTAAAATCCATTTCTTTATCGTACATCACGGGACATGGAGCAGGCTATTCATGACTATGTGGGTTATAGGCCACCCATAGGTGAATGGACACTGGCCGACCAATCAGAGAGGCAGTCCTCCCCTATATATTCTACAGGAAGTACTTCAGTTTTTTTAGCAAGCAATGAAAATTCCAGAAAGAGGGGCGGGACCTCTGTGTCCCACGATGTACTCCAGGAAATGGATTTTACAGGTAAGTATATAGAAAAAAATCCAGTTTTCTTTATTGAACATCACGGGACACAGAGTAAACTATTCATAACTATGTGGGAGGTCTCAAAGCAATTAGAAATTTGAGGGGAGGTTGACACCATGATAGCCACCGTCCTTAATCCCTCAGGACCTAACCAGCCGCCCGTAAAACACTGTGGCCAAAAGCAGAATCCTCTGCGGCTCTGACACCCACCTGGTAGAACCTTGTGAATGTGTGAACCGAAGACCATGTAGCGGCCTTGCAAACCTGAGCCACTGACGCCTGATGGCGGATTGCCCAAAATGCCCCCACACTCCTGGAAGAGTGTGCCTTCACCCAAAGGGTGGGATTTTACCTTTCAAACCACAGGCTTGAATGATCAATTAGCAGATCCATGAGAAATAATCACCTTGGATGCTGCCTGCCCCTTCCTAGGTCCCTCTGGCAACACAAATAGAGAATCTGACCTCCTGACCTGTGCTGTTGCCTTCAAGAAGACCCTTACAGCACGTGCAACATCCAAGGTATGCAGAGATCTTTCTATTGCTGACTGAGGTCTAGGAAAGAATGAAGGCAGAACTATGTTCTGATTGAGATGAAAGCTAGAAACCACCTTTGGTAAAAAGCAAAAATTAGGTTGCAACACCACCTTATCATAATGCAAAACCAGAAATGGTTCTCTGCAAGATAGAGCTGCCAGCTCCGACACCCTTCTCGCAGAAGTGATTGCCACTACAAACAACACCTTATGAGTCAATAGGACCAGGGAAATCTCTCCAATAGGCTCAAATGGTGGCTTTTGCAAAACCGCCAAAACCAAGTTCAGGTCCCAAGGACACAAGGGCAACCTGAATGGAGGAGCCATATGCATCACTCCTTGTAAAAAAAAGTGCGGACCAAAGAGTGAGACGCAATGGGTCTCTGGGAACAAAATTGCTAAATGCTGAAACCTGGCCTGTAATGGTACCAACAGTCAAATTCTTTTGCAACCCTGTTGGAAGAAATGACAGAATCCTGCCAATCACACGTGGGTGCCATTTGTGAACCTCACACCAGGCAATGTAAGCCTTCCAGGTTCTGTAATAAATGTTTTTTGAAACTTCCTCTCTAGCACCCATGATGGGGATGACAGAATCTGACACTCCCCTATCTTTCAGGATCTGGGTTTCAATAGCCACACAGTCAAATTTAGCTACCATAAAGCTGGGTGCAATATAGGACTTTGAGACAACAGGTCTGGCCAATACGGTAGTGTCCACTGCCTGTCTACTGACATCTTCACTATGTCTGTGTACCAGGCCTTCCTGGACCAGGCTGGAGCAATCAGTATCACAAGAATAGACTCCTCCCGAATCCTGAGTAAGAGACATGGCAGGAACTGGATCGGAGGAAGGGCATAAATCAGTGAGAACTGGTTCCAAGGAAGGCGTCTACCCTGACGCACAAGGGTACCTTACCCTGGACACAAAAAGACCAACCTTGTTGTTGAACCTGGATGTCAACAGATCTACATCCAGGCCAACCCGTTGCTGGCAGATTTCCTTGAAAACATCAAGATGCAAAGCCGATTCCCCTGGAATCAACTACTGACTACTGAGATAATCCCCCTGCCAATTTTCCACACCTGAAATGAACACTGCTGACAGACTTGGAACATATCTCTCTGCCCAGTTCAGAATGTAGTTCACCTACTAAGCACCTCGACTCTTGGTACCTCCCCCTGGTGGCTGGTGTATGTGACTGCTGTGGCATTGTTGGACTGAATCCTTACAGGTCAACTCTGAAGCCTGGATGTCTAATGCCTCAGAGCCAGCCTCACTGTTCAAAGTTTCAGGACATTGATGGGAGGAACCCTTGACCTGTGGCCTCCTCCAGAACAGCCCCTCAACCTGAAAGGCAGGCATTGGTGGTTACCAACTTCCACACCACTGGCAAAAGAGGATCTTCCCTTCTCCAAATTGTGAGCTATCCACAACCAATTCAGGCTCTGCTGCACCTCTGGAGACAGGGATATGCAATAATCCAGGGCTGGAATTTTGTTCCAAACAGACAGAATGTACCTTTGCAGTGGTCTGGAGTGGAATTGAACATGGGGAATAGCCTCAAATGAGGACAGCATCTTCCTCAGCAACCTCATACAGAGGCGAATTGAAGGATACCTCTTGACCTTCAAACTGCAAACCTCGTCCCTCGGGATGCAATGTTTCCCTGGAGGTAGAAATACCTTTGCCTGAACCGTGTCTAGGACAACCTCAAATACTCCAGGCTCTGCAATGGTTCCAGGGCCGAATTCTTGACGCTGAGCACCCAGCCCAGTTGTTTCAGAATCTGCATCATAAGGACCACATCCTGCTTCAGATTGGGCACCGACCGATTTCTGAGCAAGAGATCATCTAGATAACCTGTAACCGATATTTCCTGAGTTCTGAGTAATCCCAACTCCGAAGCAAGAATTATTGTGAAAACTTAAACGGTAGTGCTATGAACTGGAAATGCTGAGCACCTAATGCAAATCGCAAAATCTTTGGTGAGGAATGAATATTGGTACATGCAGGTAGGCATCCTTGATGTCTATGGATGCCAAAAAATCTCCCTCCTGTAGGAAGGCCACTACTGACCGAACCGATTCCATTTGAAAGGATTGGACATTTATGAACTGATTTAGCCCCTTGAGATCCAAAATGGGCCTTACATCCCCATTTGGTTTTGGGACTGTAAACAAGTTTGAATAAAACCCCTGAAATCTTTTGTCCGATTGAACCTCGATGATCACTCCCTGAGACAATAGGCAATCAAGTGCCTGAAATAAAGCTCTTTTCTCTGGATTTATTGGTACATTTGATCTTAGAAACCAGGGAAAGGGAAATACTCAAAATTCTAGCCTGTACCCCAGAGAAATCATGTAAATTACCCATTTGTCTTGGATAAGAGCCCTTCATGAGGCCACAAAATTCAAAAGCCTTCCCTCCACTTGAAAAAGTGGGGGCGCCCCTTCATAAAGATGCGGACCTTGGATCTGTCTGAAACAACTTTTGCACCCAGGGCCTCCTTGGGTTTTGATTCTGAGATCTACCTCTGGAGGCTGGGACCTGTGTGTAGCGAAATGACTGCCTGGTAGATGAGGGCCCAGCAATCAAAGCCTCTGACACCTTAAAAGAAGGGCGTTTGGATTTATTCTTAGAGGGTAGAAGAGCACTCTTACCCCCTGAAATCTTTTGGATATATTTGTCCAAATTTTCCCCAAACAGCCATTCTCCATGAAAGGAAAACCTGCCAACAACAATTTTTTGCACGGCAGTTCTGACAACCAACTATTCAGCCACAAAACCCGCGCATGTGCACTGATAATAGGGCCAAGCGAGAAAATTGCTGAATTGAGTCCTTAAGAACATCAACTGCAAAACACAAAACATGCAGAACATCCTCCAAATCCTTGGCTGAGCATTCCCCTGCACTGATGGTCTTCCAATCCGCTACTTGACAAGGTCAGAAAGACTCTGGCAAATGCTGGCTGTGCAGCAGAACCTGCCAGGGAGAAGGAGGCCTTAAGGAGAGACTCCAGCTTCTTAAAGATTTCATGAATGAAACAGCTGCATCCAGTACAGGCAACCCCCATTTCTTAAGCTTTTGTTCCATGGGGTACAAGAAAGAAAACCTCTTTGATGGAAAAAAACGCTGTCTGGGTGATCACAGTCAACGTACATAATTTGCTCCAGAAGAGGATGCACCGAAAAGCCTGAGTACTCTGTGAAGGCTTCAAAGAGCCCAGGAAGATTAAGTAACCTCATAGGTTTCTATCAGAGGTAGCCTAAATCCAGACTGTACCATATCAGTGAGGTCCTGAAAAATCTCTGAGACTGGGAGTCAGAGACCGCCTGCTTCTCCTCAGGCTGTGACTCGTCAGACAGAGATTCTACTGCCTGACCTTCCTCCAGTTCTTCCTCCTTTTCAGGCTCCACCCATTCCTGCTCCAGGATTGGTGATGGGGATCTATTCTGCTTCTTAGTCCCCTGAGAAACTGATGCAAACATCCCAGCAATATTATCTTCTAAACCCGCTAAGGCTGAAGCAAGATCATCCTTGGTTACATTTGATGAGGCAGAAGCCCCAGTAGCAGCCACAATGCCAGACAGACGCAGTGGCTCAGACTGCCCAGTTGTTTCTGGCCTGTCAGGAGAGGATATCAGAGCGGACCTTCGGCTAGGTTCTTCAGGATCTGGTGGTGGTACATTAGTGCCCTTTCCTGTTGCACCTCCACCACTCCGATATCTGGAAGACATCACTTTAGATAGCGCAAACCTGTGCACCTCCAATATTAATCACAGACCTCAAGATACAGCTATGCAAGTAGTGTACTGAAGTAAAAACACTCAATGCAAATGCTGCCTTATGAGCCACCTAGGGCGGCTGCTAACATACTGGTTCATGCTTCCCCTCAGGGGAGTACTCACGTGCTCCTACAGAATACCCTGCTCTGTGTCCCAGCCACAGGAGGTTCCCCAGCAGCAGCCCATGTGTGTCCTAGGCTCCAGATAAACAAATATTTACGACTACCGTTTCTGGCCGCTACTGTGCATGAGCTGGCTGTACTCCCTCTAGTGACCGAAAACAGAAGAGCAAGCACATCTCGGAAACAATTGCGAGCACTCCCCCTGGTGGAAACTCAAATTCACAACAC